TTATTTGTGATGTCGATACGGAACTAGTTGAAGTTGATTCTTTTGATTGAGATTCCAAGGGTAATAGAGATTTAGTTGTGGTAGCTTCTTGTGGTTGCAATTCTGACGATCCACTTGAAGTTGACGTTAATTTTGACTGTGTGGACGTACTTTCCTCTGGTTGAGATTCCGATATCACACTTGTAGCTGACGTTAGAATAGCCTCACTAGATGTCTTTACTTGTGGTTGTGATTCTGTTGATCCACTTGTTCTTGACGTCGATGCAAACTTAGTTGATGTGGTTTCTTTTGGTTCGGATTCAGAGGTTAATGGAGATTTAGTTGTAGTAGTGTCTGATTGCAATTCTGACGATCCACTTACAGTTGAAGTTAATTTTGTCTGTGTTGACGTACTTTCTTTTGGTTGAGATTCTGATATCACACTTGTAGCTGACGTTAGAATAGCCTCACTAGATGTCTTTGCTTGTGGTTGTGATTCTGTTGATCCACTTGTTCTTGACGTCGATGCAAACTTAGTTGATGTGGTTTCTTTTGGTTCGGATTCAGAGGTTAATGGAGATTTAGTTGTAGTAGTGTCTGATTGCAATTCTGACGATCCACTTGCAGTTGACGTCAATTTTGACTGTGTTGACGTAATTTCGTCTGCTTGAGCTTCCGATATTACACTTCTAGTTGATGTTGGAATAGACTCACTGAAGGTTGTTTCTTGTGGTTGAGACTCCGATAATCCACTTGTTTCTGACGTCGATACGGATCTAGTTGAAGTTGATTCTTTAGATTGAGATTCCGAGGTTAATACAGACATAATTGTAGTATATTCTTCTGGTTGCAATTCTGAAGTTCCAATTGTAGTTGACGTTAACTTTGAATGTGTTGACGTACTTTCCTCTGGTTCAGATTCCGATATCACACTTGTAGGTGACGTAAGAATAGCCTCACTGGAAGTCTTTACATGTGGTTGTGATTCTGATGATCCACTTGTTCTTGACGTCGATGCAAACTTAGTTGATGTTGTTTCTTTTGGTTCAGATTCCGAGGATAATGGAGATTTAGTTGTAGTAGTGTCTGATTGCAATTCTGACATTCCACTTGCACTTGAAGTTAATTTTGTCTGTGTTAAGGTACTATCGCCTGCTTGAGCTTCCAATATTACACTTCTAGTTGATGTTGGAATAGACTTACTGAAGGTTGTTTTTTGTGTTTGAGATTCCGATGATCCACTTGTTTCTGACGTCGATACGGATCTAGTTGAAGTTGATTCTTTTGCTTGAGATTCCGAGGTTAATATGCAACCACAAGAAGCTACCACAACTAAATCTCAACTCCAAGTGGATCGTCAGAATTAACGTTAATTTTGACTGTGTTGACGTACTTTCCTCTGGTTG